AAAACGAGATCAAAGGGATCGCGCGCAAGGACGAAGGTTGTCCGCGCGTAAGTGAATATGGATGGTGAATGGCTGGTGGTGGTGGTTTGACGTGAAGCAGATAAGCCGTCAGCTACCGATGGAGATTGATGCGACTCGCATTAATCTATAGTTCGTCTGTCTCACTCTTTCCGTCACTCTACTAGTTCGGATCAATTCTTTCGCTATACGAGCAATACGTTTTATCCCAAGATAATTTAGATACTAAATAAAAAAAAAGGTGTGAGAAATATCGTCAAAGATATCGTTCCTTTTGCTATAAAACTTTACGACTGAAAAATGTCAATTTTTTGGAGATGTATTATATTTTGATAATATCTCTAATTATACAACATATATTTGTACATATACCGGCTACGAAATTTTTTAAATCCCGAAAATCGATCTCGGGTTCGATTCTCGATTCAGCCGACTTTCGGACAAATATTTTTCTCGTCTATAGCTTTTACAGGGGGATTTAAAAAATGGGGTAACACAGGAATTAGAGATCCAAATAGCAAGGATGCTATTCCTAACCGACGAAAAATTAATTTTCGTTGACGCAAAAGACATCGCGGTATATATACTTATTATATACAAATATATATGTATATCTAATTATGTTTACCTCATTCATTGGGATTTGTAGCTGGAATTGTAATTGAGAGAGAAAGTTCTTCTTGGAGAAAACGTTTAATAAACGCTTTATAACACTGATAAAAGGCGCATAAAAGAAAATTATCTTAGACGCCAGAGTGCAGCATAACTTTTGTTATCACGGTGGAAACTGGCGATGCGAAATCGTGGAAGTCGCGACATAATTCAGCCCCATGCGCACACATTCAGCCCGATAACCTCGTTTCGCGTGTTATCAGCGCTTCCTTTTTCGCGCGGAAATTTCCACTTTTCATCGACGGTGCCTCACGATGAAGCGCGATTTACTCGGGACTACGACTCCGTTTTGAATTTCATGAGGATACGTCCGGCGCGAGAGGCGGATTCGTTCGAAAAAAAGAAGAAAAATGCACGCCGCGGCGTTTTACTGAATTTTTAGAGCAATGTGAAATTAAAGCGACTTTTAATTGCCGGCAGTGCGCGGCGCGTCTGTGGAGACCTCTAATTTTTTAATTCGGCTCTTTGTGCACGACCGACTGCTTTTTATTTAACGAAGAAAATGCATTTCCTCGTTAATATTCCTTTGCTCTTTGCAGACCGGTCTGGCGGATATATGAAGAGCTCCGGCATGCTATTATAAACGCTATGACGCTTTCATAAATTCCGTACCTTTTTTTCGGTATTAAACGCTTTTCTCTCGTACATAATTTTGCAAGGTCGTTTATTTCGCCATGTGAAATGTTTGCATGCCGTGTTTTAATCTTGGCAAGTCAGGCTAAACTTTGTTGTGCAATAAGGAATCTCTGATATAACAATTAACGATATACTAAATACATGATTCTGTTATATTTTATTAAAAAAAAGAGAAAGAGAGAGAGAGAAAAGAGAAGGAGCATATTTTCATTTTCTTCATTCTTATGCAAATTAAAATGTAATTTTATTTTTACAAAAGTTATTAAAAATAAAAGCCTTTCTCCCTCGTTATACAATAATCTCTTGAATGACAGTCGAAGACGAGGGTCTTCCCAAAGAATGTGCCCCTTCTCTTTTCCTAGCTTCTCCGACGAGAATTTCCATCCGCTTCGACGCGGATGTAACCCGTTTGGTCGTCTCGACGTCACTTCCCGCTCTATCGCGAACAAGATCGGAGGTTGTAGATGGCGAATCGACAAAGGTATGAGAGATAGCGCGGGACTCGAGCAAAGTTTGTCGCAAGTTTAGATTGAGTTCAATCTCCAAGCGCGCACAAACACGAACACGTACACACCTTCCTCGCACCTTTTGCCCTATCGTGACTCAAGCGTCGGTCCTTTCTCGCCACCCTCTCTCTCTCTCTCTCGTGAGGCTAGCTTATCGCCTAATATTCAGCCGGAGGTGGAAATGTCGAGACGTTTCGTGCCCAGACTCTGTCGTCTTCGAGTTCGCGTTTCTGTGCCTTTTACCTCCGTCCTTCCGCCACCTAGAGGTGACAAAGTGACCGTGCAAAGTGAAATTGTATATATGAACATTTCTTTTTCCCTCTATCGAAATTATATGAACGCGCGAAATGCTTATCGGCGAACGCGGTTTAATGCGGCTGTTATTTAATGAGCGTTTCGCGAGGGTTCGCTGCGCCGTGATTGCTGATAGTGCGGTTTGTTAAATGTGGTTTCGCGGATTGCGGCGCATTAAGCTGACAATTCCGTGCAAACGGTGTGAGTACACCGTATGAAGCTCGCAACAATTCAACAATTCAACGCCGATATTTATATATCAAAAATAAAGAGATATAAAATATATTTCACTTTCTTTTCACGATCGTAATAAAATCTCCGTCCGAGCATATCCTCTATAAATGCAATTTGTCTATCGGCTCGTTCATCAAACGGGATGAAATTACCGATTTAGTCGCAAACACCGATCGCGCGCAGTTCGCGGTGGAGTTTCCGGAGGCACGAAGCTATTCCGATGTGTCGAGTATCTAACGACGTAACGTTGCGTACGTTAGAAGCGCATCACGTAAATCGAGTTAACGTGGTACCGCGATGAAAGCCTTCGCCTCGTCGCCAGTGAAATTCGCTTTTCGCTCCCTCCTGCCGTGCCCGTAAAATTCGATCAGCAACGCCGTATTCTCGTTGGCTGTGATGGCGTCATTACCTTACTTCGTCATTTTGCCGACAACACAGCGAACAAGAGAGCCAGACACGGACGAGGAAAAAAAAAAAAGAAGCGAATCGCGCTCACCCCATGGAAAATTTCGTGGGATCAACTTTTCCGCGTATATCATCCCTAAAATGGCCGGACAGAAATCTAATATTACTTTTTGTTCCGCTAATATATTAATACTGTCGCGCGTCGTATTCATCAAGAAGGATAGATTCTATATTTGAACTTTCCGAGTTTGATTTTTTAAAAGCAAAATTTATCTATATTTTTCATCGACACTTTCGATATTTTTTTCTATAACGCTGCTCGTTGTTGCATTTTTATTATCAAGTATCACGCTAAAAGCCTGAGAGGATAAACTCGGGGAGAAATATGAAACAGGATGAAGATTGAAGATCCAGAGTGGAAAAGGGACCTTTCAGGAGAAAAGACACTATGCGGAGAGAGGCAGACGTCGGGCGTTTCCTTAATTGCATTTTTATGCTCGCCCGGATTTCCGGGTCGGCAAAAGAGTTCGGGGAAGAAAGGAGTTTATTATACCGAAGGTAGAAACTCTCTCACGAGACTATGGCTAATCGTTAATGTGCCTTGACTTTTCCACGAAATGAACGAAATTGCTGCGACGTGGGTTTTGTCTACTTGGGAGTTTTGAATATCCAACTCGGTGAAATATTTAAATCGGTCAACTAAAGACGAGATGAAAGATACTCGGAAAACACAAAAATTTGTTAAAATATAAAATTAATCAATAATCGTTCGTTACAATATTGATTGAAATTTCAATAAAGTTCTATTTTAATTATTATAAAATATTTCGATAAGATATTTTGATCGTAGTAAAGTTGATTGAAAGTCAGATAAGCGAGAAAAGGCATTCAAAACTGATTATAAAAGTCGACTGAAGCGACAAATCTAATTTCAATCTTAACTAAAAGTAGATTGAAACTGAAAGACACGATCGTCTTGTCGGAAAATCTTGTTTTCAGAATTAAGGGGACGAGGTAAGAGTTCAACAATTTCAGATAAAGAATCAGAAAAGTACATTTTTTCTAAATGACATAAAATCAATGTAAATGAAGATAAAAACTTTGTTCTCTCATCTCTCTAGAGATATTAAAACTTAATTACGCTCAGACTTTTTCTCAAATGACGTGTAACAAATACAATTGTTAAATTTCAGGCAGAGAAATAATCATTACTGCATATTACAGAAACGATAATCAGATTTTATATCATTCTGTACTTTCTATATAGCTTCATACATTTTTTCCAATTTAATTATCCAATGTAATTGTATAAAGGTTCTTTTATTCGGGTTTGCAACTTTTTTCTCCCCCGTTAAATTTAACGCGTCTCCGATTTCATGATGGGAAACGTGCGATTCCCGCGTGTTATCTTAAAAAATATTTCCGGAAATTCGACAGCAGAGTCAATGGAACGGATTCCCGATGGAAATGCAAAAAAGGAAAAGAAGAGAGACGTGAATTCCGACTGTGCGTGGGGTCGCGCCGAATTCGTGTAACAATCGCGAATAAGTTCGAACTGTCTTGTAACATCGCCCGTTCGTTTCCACCGAGCCATCTCTCTTTCTCTAGCCCTCTCTTCTGGATTTATTGAAATTTTATGCGGTATCCCGATGAGGTCCGACTCGAAAATTTTATCGACGGCCTCTGGACGGCCGGACCTTTATATTACGAGCGGATAAAGAGGGTTGGTTGGATCGGCTTCTATTTCGCCGCTCGAAACTTATTACATTTTCCCGTGTTGCAAAGAGAAACTCCCAAAGAGATGTCTCGCAGTTGGTCGAAATGGAAAGATGAAATCCCGACAGAATGTCTACTTTCCGATTCATGACCGTGATTATATATATTTTCCGCTTTATCTCAGTCGAACTAGTGTTTCTTTCTCAAATATTGAAAATCTATTAATTCTATTTTATAAATTCTAGCACACTATATAATTCGAAAAAATCTCGAATAAATCCGCGGAAAATTAATTCCGCGCGCTGCGGAAAAAAAGAAGCATCTCGTAATAATGTACGTGAAAAAATTCAGTATAGATATAGGACGACATTTTATCGCATTCCCGTCCTATCATGTCCTCAATTTCTATGCGCGGCAATATCTTTCCATCAGCGCGCATCGGAAAACCATTTATCGGGCCGGCAACGAGAGAAAGAGAGAGAGAGAGAGAGAACGTGACAGAGCTATAACGACACTCACCCTAGGTTATGGTTGTCCGTGTTGTCGGAAGCGTCGTCCGTCACGGAATCCTGCGTGAGAGGGCCCTGGGTGACGTCCACCCCCATGCTGCCCAGATCCAATGTGGCGTAGGTTCGGCGAGCTTGCACCCTCGTTCCACCCCCACCCCCACCGCCGGTCACCTCGCCGCCTCTACCACCGCTGCCGACCAATTCCTGATACAATTCATCATAGAGAGAGCTGCCGTTTCCGTTGCTGTTCAACGCATCGTCCAGACGAGCCGGGTCCAGATGATAATTGGGATTTTCGAAGGAGAGGAGGCCGTTTTCTGAAAAAAGAATCGAGTATTTACACAAATGTGTGCTTGTCGAGAGCTTTTTACAGCTTATCAAAGCGCAAATATTATCAATAAAATAGAATAATAATAATAGAAGATGTTACGAATCATTTCCGCTATCGGTTATATATAAAAAAAGTGTATAGAGAAAAGAATGAGATATCATGAAATAATGAAACCGATAATCTTCTTATTTTAGTGTTAAATTTCAGACGGTTGATATAAAAGAGCAATTATATCGTGTGAAAAAATGAAGCATCGATTTTACCGGATGTAACTACCTCTTCGTTATATCGATTGACGTAACAGTATGTAAAATACTGCATGGAAGTGCCTATTTTCTCCGTTAAAGAATATTACTTCGCAGAAATCTGCTTCTGCGAACGACCTGGTTATTTCGCATGTCGTGCTATGTGTCAAACGCGCGGTTTCGAAGCTTTAAATATCAGCGGATAACGAGCCGTAAAAGGTCAAGGTTCCGAGTTATGGCAGACTATGGTAGAGCATGCGATCAACCGCGGCAGCTGCCAGCGCATGCATGGGGTGTTTTAAAGGTTGCTCAATACATATCGATACGCGGCAAAGTGCTTCGGAATAAACGCGTCCGATCGTTTCAACTTTATAGTACAGAAAATCCGCAAAACTGCATGGAGATACATTTCCTCGTTCAAACACTTGAATTTATCGATAAACAAGGAGAGAAGATAAATGTGAAAAAATTGAAAATTGCATATAAAAATGAATTTCTACGATGTTTGGTAGAATGGCGACAAGTGTTTCACAACAGGATGAAACAAGAAGCTGAATATTGAATCGGAATATCCAATTATAGCCAATTTAAATTTGGCTAATCTATCGCGGTGACGATTACGATAAGAAAGCTTGTCGTTGGAGATCGTCGAAGACAAGGTATTATCTGGCGGTAGACAGTTGCAAGAGAGTAATGGCTCGAGCTTTAAGCTTTAAGCTCACCCCGAGATAGATAGCCAAGTTAAATACTGCAGTCGCGGTTATCCGATATTCCGACTATCTTCGCGGTAACTCGCACGGAATACTAATAAAATTTATTCAACCCGGTTAATATTGGCCAAGTAGACCTTGTCCGTTAATATAGAACTTGCAGCCGCAGGAATTTATATCGCACAGCCAATATGACTGCTCATACTTGTGATCGTTTCGTACAATTATCGATACAAGCAAAAATCCATATATAAATAACTTTCCATTAATTAATTTCGATATAGGTAGACAAATTCTATTTTCACGTCATTTGTAATTTTTCTTTGACAAATGCTTTTCTCAAGATAGCCTTGTTCGCGTATCAAACTTTTTTATTACGCATAAATACAATTGATTTTCGCGAAATGAGATCTAACAAATCCGCCTGATCGACGTCTCGCTCTCGCTACTCACTGATAATCCTGAGAAAGACGACAACGGCGAGAACGACGTTGTACAGGAACCGACAAAAGGAGTCCATGCTGTCATGTTGATGGCTGTCATGTTGGCGGAAAGGCTCAGCCCGATATTCGGCGATACTCTCGCGAAATAATCGGCGGGAGAGACGACTTATCGACGCGCTATATCGGGGAACGAACGTACAAGAGCTCCAAAGTCTTGGATCTCTCCTTGGCCTCCTTTGTCCCTTCCTTCCTTCCTTTCTTCCATCCGCGACTATCCTATCTGGTCTACAGTCTACCCGTCTCACTCGCGGTATTGATTCGTAAGAGCTTAAAGCTACTGCACTGTCTCAAATTCATATATCTCCGTGCCCGAAAGAACGTGAAAATTTATATCTAAAATTCATAAATGATAAATTTTAAAAACTCATCAAATAAAAAAATGTGTCGCATAGGTGTGTACCAATTAATTTCGGGCGCGCGTTGTTTATTTCTTTCGCTTTTCATACACGCAAAAATCTACAGCTAAAGAGAAAGAAATATGTAACCATCAACGCTACAAAATCGCAGCTAAATCCGATGTTTATTCAGTCCGCGTTTACACGCCGTCGACAATAAACACCATAACTTTGCGTTTACGGCAGCTGCGGTCGCGACGTAAATACCGATCGCGAATCTGCAATACGAACTGTGAATGGGCAATGAACTCTCATCCACGTCAATACGATTTCATCATTCAAACAACGATCACATGGATTTAACATTCCTTTCCCCATGTTTTTTTTTTTTTGAAGATTGGGTTACGGACGATTACAAAAAAATATTAATTTGTTGCAAACGACACAAGTCATGCAATGAAAAATCCGAGTTTTTTCTTCGATGTACATACTATAGATAATTTTTAAAATGTAGAATTTCATTGTTTGTTACTTTGATACTACTTTTCAATGTAGGTAGATAAATATTAGTATAACGACGATGTTCTTTTTAATAAGTTAATTAGCTGACTAAAGCTGTGGCCTATATCGCTTTCATAATTGCAGTAATTAATAAAAAAACTCTATAAAAACATTTTATGAAAAAAAGAATGCAGAAAACATACAAATTAAACAGAACTACAAGTTTAATTATAAACGATATTTCAGTTACGTTAAAAGCAAAGTTAAATGTGTTTTCATGTATATACATTAAATTGCGTTTATTGTATATAAAACTATTCTCATAATAAATAAAATTTTTTCATCGTTTATATATTTTACGGAAAATATCCAATTTTTCGCGGTATGATTTTTTTTACCACAGATTATTTAATTAAACTTAATTTGCAAACGCGCGTATATATATAAGAATCGGCACGAGCTCTTTTCTCGAAGCTTCGTTAGCGCTTGACGAGGCTTGTGATTTGCAAAGAAATTCGAAAGAAAGCTGCGTAACGCGAAATGAGATTGCAGAGAGCGAGAAAAGACGGATGAATCAGCGAAAGGGGCGGTTTGCTCGGAGCCGACAAATTGGCTGGCGACGACGTTTCGCCAGTTTCTCGTTATAGATACGTGCGAGAGTGCAGGCGACGGGATTGTATTCCGCCGAATGCATCTCGTTACTTTCGTTCTGCAAAAATCCTGAGGGGAAAAAGAGAGGAGGAGTATGTTTTAAAGTTCGAGAGCACGTCCGACGCGCGCAAGAGACAGGCGGGCGAGAAAAGTATTAAGGCGACCGATGCGCGCGAGGAAGACTCTGAAAAATATCCTACGTGCTCGTTAAAATCCCATCTTAAAAAATTTCTCACGTGGCGCGAGCAGACGCGCGTTGTGTCTGAAAGCGGCACGAAAACAGGAAGAAAGTAAAAATTGGCCGCTTTGGATGCGTCTAACGAGATCCGTAATGCGAGAGATATTCTTTACAGAAAACATTTTGTCGGATGTTCTTCAATTGTTATCGTATGATCGCTTTTTAACCATATTTTATCGCTAAAAATTAATAATGTGATTTATGTATGTAGATCATACTTGAAATTTTTTTGAATATTTAAAAACGTACACATTTTCACAACAATCTTGCGCCTTGAAAATTCGAGTTCTACGATGCGTTCGAAAGTAAATGGAATAAAAAGTATATAAACGCCGGAGCGTTCTTGCATTTTTAACATTAAAAATTTGCATATTTTTCAGTTCGAAAAAAAAGAGGGGACGGAGAACAAAGGGTAGTTTGTTTTTGGATCTAAACAAATTGGGAGATTCTATCCGTTACAAACGTTATAGAGCAAAAGCATAATATGTTCGTAGCCGTTCCACGAACGTGTCTTGTTATTTCGCGTGGAATGAAGCAGTTTAAAGTTTGAACGCCTGTTGGGATCGTGGGAAGGGCTGCGCGAACGAGACAATTAAGAGTGGCGAGGATAACGTAGAAATGTGAATGGTTCGAAGTTGTTTCACGGAATGTTCCCGAATTCATTTGTGAAAACGAATTTTACCGCGCTTGAATTTTATTTTAAGGTAAATTGGCCAAACTTTTCGACGTAAACAGCAATTTTACCTCGTCGATAGGCAAAAAAAAAATACGCGTGATAATTTATAATTGTGTTTATAATTCCGCGATAATAAAATTTCGGGAAATAATTAGATGAGACTAAATTTTTTCTGAATTTATTAAATATAACTTACAGCAGGGAAAAACTCAGAATACGGAAACGAAAGATATATACGTAACTTTCGGGAAGAGTCTGAATCCAATTGGTGCAGACGGGACGACAAATGGACTGCAAATAAGTCTGGTCGCATTCCAGTTCGCTCCGAACAAAAGTGCGCGGTGCAGTTGCATACTTCGGGATGCGTTCCGTTATTTGTCGCCCCGAAAGGAACGTGCAGCAGCACACAGTCCGAAAAGTGGGCTGCTGTGGGGAGTTTTAAAGTTTGGACTTGCAGAAAGAGGGTTGGAAACGGAGGGTTAGAGCCGGAAGCGAGCGAGGTCGAAAGAACGAAGTTGAAAATGGATGGAGAGGAGTGCTGTAAGCAAGAAAGGCCGAGAGAACAGAAGAAAGGAGAAGGGATAAAAAGCTCTGTCATCGCCCTCGATGAGTCACCCTATCGATTCCTCGAGCGAGTGTGTAAAGCTGAAGGTGAATTTTTACCGGTGTCGTGCGCCTTTTTCTTTGCTGTCGACGTTCTTACGTATATATATATATATATATATATATATATGTCTTTTCCACGGAATATTAAGTTTCATGGACACGAAACAACTGCCTCTTTGCCTTCCCTACCCCAACCGTTTTCCTCATTCCACGAGTTAAGGGCGCGTGCCAGGCAAAGTTCGATCGGTGAAGCCATCCGTTTGTTATCTTGTTACTTTTGTTCCAAGACGGTTTTGTTTTCACGACCGAGTTCGATGAATGATTAACATAAATACGCATGGAAAAAGAAATGACATTATTAATACTAGCTCCAAATATTTCACTAAATAAAATAATTTTGTAGATTAAAAATAGAATAAAAGAAAAAAAAATATAAGCATGAAAAATGTATCATTTTTAATAAAGAATGTTTATCATTTAATTATAAGAATGTATAGCGCGTTGCGATAAAGTGTGGTTAC